CTCTCTCTCTCTCTCTCTCTCTCTCTCTCTCTCTCTCTCTCTCTCTCCCACACACACACTCCTTTCCTCTGTGTGTATGTATGCATGCATGTGTGGTATATGTGCACAGGTATATATAGCGTATGTATAGGCCAGAGGTTGACCGTAGGTGTTTCCCTCCATCGTTTTCTACCTCATGTTAGGCAGAGTCTGTCCCTAAATCCAAAGCACCCTAATTCCAATAGCTACCCCGAGTAGTCAATGAGCCTTCATGATCTTCCTGTCTCTGTCTCCCCAGCACTGGGATTCCAGACCCACTGTATTAGCATCAGAGCCTACAGCCTCCAAATCCAGTGATGACGTCAAGTCATCCATAGGCGACAAGGACCCGAGTGCCTGTTGCCATGGCAACCACCATACATTCCCAGCATCCACCTGCCTGTCCCTTACCTGTGTGAGGTGGTGCGTGTGATTACGTCATGGCCCAAACAAGAAGCAGAGCCCCCTGACTTTCGCTCTCTTTTCTTCTTCTTCGTCCCCCTCTTTGTCCTTTTCTCTTCTCCCCCAATAAACTTCTCCCGTGGAGCTGTATTAGCCTGGTTTTATCTGTCCCCTGTACAAACCGCCATTTTAACACAGCATACACCAGCATGTCAGGCTTTCTTTAACAACATGGATACTGCAGATAGGACTCAGGCCAACATGCTTGTCTGGCAAGTCCTTATCAACTGAGCCACCTCCCCAGCCCCACAAGGTAGATCCTTATCCCCTATTTTGCAATTAAGCTATTAAGCCTTAGAGATATGAAGCAACTAGGCCAGTGGCCTGCCTTGTGACGGATGGGAGGAGGAGCTGGCTCTTGCTTTGACCCCTGGACTTTGCTCCTCTCCTAGATCATGAGTCCACAGTGTATTATTGAATTCCCACTTACTTAGATTCCCAGGAAGAAACCAGTAAGTGCAGGAAATCCCTGTTGGCTCCTTTCAATTATTGCCTGCTTCTTTCAAACACTGTCCTGACTTCAGGTTTGTTTTTTTTTTAAACCACTGCAATTCAAAAATCAATGTCTAAGTTATGACTGCTTCCAGACTTCTATGTGACAGTAGCGTTAGAGTAGTCTCGATGGATACTTAGTTAGCAATTGTTTGGAAGAAATAAAAGTGACTATGTCTGAATTCACATAAAAACTTCATTAGGAAAAATGTAATCATTTCAGAATTTTTGTTGTATTTCTTAAATAACATGAGAAGAAAAATATTTTGAATGTAAAGTTAAGTCCACTTTTCTCTGGTTCTTCCTAGGTCTTCTTCCCCAGGGGGGAAAATATCAAAGTCAAAAGAAGACACCTTGAAGAGACTAGAGAGCGAGCTGTAAGCATGACTTCAGTTCTCTAGAATGGGAAGAGAGGACGTTCTCCCTCGCTGTGTGCTTAGTACTTCAACAGCATCCGGAACACATATTTGTGGAATGAATGCATGAAATCTCTAGTTTCCTACTCAACCACCTTCTGATTTCTACAGCTAAGATCATTTGTCCTACAATTCTGACTCAGCTTCTTGTAGGACCAATTGTATGCTCTTAAAGGCTAGCCCTTGGGTACCTCAAGCTGTATGCCACATCCATAGGACCAAATTCTGCATGTTAATAGACTCTTAACATTAAAGTTTTCACATAGCTGCCAAGGCTAGGGTGGACCCTGCACCAGCACCATCTGTACCCATCAGCATCATCTGGGACCCTGCTAGAATGTTGATTGCATCAAAGATTCTTGGCTCAGGTCCAGGGACACATACTTGTAGCCACTAGGTGTTCTGATGCCTATTAATGTTTGAAAACCGCCTTTCCAAGTTCAATCACCAACTTGGCTCTACACTCTACTTGAATTTGGGCTTTTGGTTGCAATAAGTGAGCTGTTTTCTTACCTCCTGTGACTTGAGCCTCTCCAGTATGGAGAAACTACTTTCTCTTAAACCTTTTATACCCAAAATTTGAGTAGCTCTGAAAATTTTTTCCTTCTAACTTTATGCCGTATGATATACTCTGAACATAATGGGTAGTCTCATTCTTCTGATATAACCTTAAAGAGCCCAGGTTTGAAGCTCTTGAAATGCCAGGATATACTCATAAAACCATAGAGGTCAGTTAGAAAAATCCGGCAAAATGCAGTTCTGTGGTGAACTACTTGGGAAGTAGAGAACTCATTTCTTCTCAGATTTCTGTGCTCCTGCTGCTGGGCACCCTTGATGAGGGATAGCTATATTTACAGCCATTGATAACATTGACACGATCTGTCCATATGTTCTGGAATTCATTACCCCAGCATGCAATGTTATAAGGTGGTGGAAGCTTTAAGAGACAGAGTTTCAGGTGAGATCATTGGAGGGCTCCAGGTTGTTCTCATGGGACCCTTGAATTTGTTCTCACATTGTTTATTGTCACAAACAATGATCCAGGCCTTTGAATCTCTCTCTAGCTTTCTATCTAGCCAAGGACATTCTCCATCTCACATATGCCCCTGCCCTGGTGATGCAACTTGTCTCAGTGACGTAGCCACCCTGAGACATGAGCAGAAGCCAGCAGCATATCCTTGAACATCTAGACTTGACCAAAATAAGACTTCTTCTTTGCCCACACCTAGCTTTAGGTATTTTATTATAGCAGCCAAAATGGACTAATACATGGCTTTCATTAAATACAGTCACATACTTAACAGAAGGGATGCGTCTATTAATGCTGCTTGATAGGCCAGCTTGATTTTATCAGTTATGTCCTGTTGCTGGTCCAAAGCAAACAAAAGCCAAAAATTGTTGTGATACATGAATCAATAGAGAAACCATTGCTACCCAGCTCTCTTTTGAATCATCCTCTCTACCACAGACTTCTGGGACTTGCCCCTTTAGCCTCCTTTCTAGAAAAGATGGTCAGCAGCCACATCTCACCATGTCCACGTTCCCAGGTCCTGTCACAATCCTTTTCCACTACAGTGCAGGACATCCTTTCTACCTATTGCTGGCTGCTTATTTGCCAGCAGACTTGAAAACTTGATTTTTAACAAGAGCTACAAAAAAGCCACGCTATGTATGAGGAAATCTGGTGATGATGATTTGTTATTATTACTACTATTCCCAGCCCAGATGGTTCTCCAGATGAAATGGATAAAAATTGGAGTCTCTTTGTGGCTGGTGACAGGTGCAGACTTGGCCCCTCCGGTGGGATTTCATCAGGGACGCAGCTCACCACTGGGGCAGCAGCTTCCCACAGGCCTGTGTGTGTTGTAGCAGTCCTGAAAACTGTCAAGTGAGTAATCTGGAGTCTTTAGAAGATTCCCTTCTGTACACCCTTTGAAAAGCCACATCCGTCAGTCCCTTTGTTTTCGAGCAACAGAAACAGGCTCTGGCTAACTTGAACATTAAAGGCATTTATCGGGTAGACATAGGGGTCCTTCCAGAACTGATGAAAGACCAGAGAGCCAGCCTTTGAACACACTGAGAAGCAGGAGAGCCCTTGCAAGGGAGGAAGCAGGAGGACATTTAGAATCTTGTCAGGGTACAGGGGAGAAAGTACAACCTCTTATTTTCTGTCTTGAATCATTCCCCTACAAGATTTTTAAGTTGTGGCAACAGTACTTGATGGCTTAGTTTTTGTTGTTGTTGTTGTTGTTGCTGGTTGTTTTTTTTTGTTTTGTTTTGTTTTGTTTTGAGACAGGTCTTCTCTGTGTAGCCCTGGCTGTCCTGGAACTCACTCTGTAGACCAGGCTGGCCTTGAACTCAGAAATCCACCTGCCTCTGCCTCCCAAGTGCTGGGATTAAAGGCGTGCACCACCACTGCCCGACAAAGGGTTAACTTTGACTTAGGTTTATTCCCAGGCTGCAACAGGGTAGGGCCTGTGGTTGGCAGAGCTGCTAAATAGCACGTGATAGAGTTTCAAGGATGAAATGACACTGAAGAAGGAAGACTTTCTAGAAAGTAGGGGGAGGATCTCAGCAAATGTGTCGCCATAAACACAACTCCAAAACTGAGCAATATTGACCAAGTCAATCATTTCAGGACACTGAAAATTAACCAAAAGCGTAAAACAACCTTTTCTTCAAGAAACCTGCTGA